ATGTCAAGCTGAAGCAGCCAGTAACAGCACATGGTGGGGTAGCCCAGTCACCTTTCTGGTAGGTGGCAAAATGTATCATCATCCAAAGTGCAGTGGTTTCATTTATTTGCCTTTTCAAACACAGCTTCAAAACATAGTCAAACTTAGTTGCTCAAATCCTAACAGATAGACCTACCCCAAGGAATTCTGAGTCATGGCTCAACAAGAGCTAACAGTTGAGAGCATTCTCCAGAGATGAAAGTGAGGACTGGGAATCTAAGGACATTCTTAAGATGGTGAAGAACCTGATGTAATTCATAGACTGTGCAAACCACATTAGATCTCTTCCCCCACCCCTCTAAAACAAACACACACACACACACACACACACACACACACACACACACACACACACACACACACACACAAACTTTTCTCTCCTGGCTATTCCTTCACAAGAAATGAATATCCACAGTAAGTATTAATTAACTAATGAATCAGAATTCCTACAACCTCTTGGTAGTTTAGGAAGAAGCTTAAGGGTACACTTACAGAGTTATTTCCTGAGTTCTCATCCTCAAAGTCATGCCTGGTTCTTACTGTTTTTATTTATACACATTAGCCAGTATAAGTCATCTCTGAGAGGGCAGGAGATAATTAAAGCAAAATGATGCATGAGATGTATGTATAGCCTCAAAATAAGTCAGACATAAGACAGCTTCTCATTCTCCCATAGGTATGCAATAAGCTCGCTCTACTTCTCTCTCTCCTCTCTCTTTCATCTCTCTCTCTCTCCTCCCTCTCTCTCTCTCTCTCTCTCTCTCTCTCTCTCTCTCTCTCCCTCTCTCCCCCCCTCTCCCCACATTGGCACAGGAGCTCAGAGTAAGAATTGGCCGGGATTCATATTGATTTCCCACTGCACTGGTTTCTTAAGTGCTCTGTTGATCCGTGTCAAGCAATAAGTTCCCTGCCTGAACAGGCACTTCACCTCCCCATTTGTCCTCACCTAGATTTAAGATGCCCATATGATGAGCTGAACAAGGACATCATTTTTCCTATTGGTGTCACTGGGCCCAAACCACTGCATGTCATGTGATAACTAATGCTGCATACATCTACAGTCACCCTATGACATTATCCCAGCAGAGACCAATACTACACAACACCAAAGGTGACAGCAACACCCTGCTTGGTACATCGTGACTTTCCAAAGGAGATGCAAATGACAGAGAAACCTGGCTTTGGTGGGTTTATGAATAACACCCTTCTTCACAGTCTCTGCAGCTGGGTGCAGGGAAAAAAAGAGAGTGGAGGAGAATGGATATGCATGACATTCCTGACAGTTTTCATCTTGGTTACAGAAGAGCTCTGATGCAGATAGATGGAAAATGTGTGATTGTGCTGCTAATGACATTGTACAGGAAATTAAGCATATACATTTGGAGGAGGCATTAAATCAGCAGGACCTTAATTTAAAAACTTAAAACTGTATGGAAATTCAGCCTGCTCAATGCTGTGGAGTAGAAAGCCACCCAGCACCCCAGTCTGTTTGTGGAAAGATTGCCAGCCATTGGTTCCACATTATTCAGAGTTACTTCTCTCAGAAAGTAGCTGTCAGTCCTGACCATTTGGGAATGTCAGTCATTGCCATAGAAACCTGTCCCCCACCACTGGGCAGATGAGGAGAGCTCAAGAATGGAAAGCAGCATGCATGTTGTTCTTGACTAATTTGCAGAATAACATTATGTAAAATTAATCAAAAGAGTTTGGGCTTGAAACCACTGGAAACACACCACTGAGCCACAGTGTGTGTCTCATAGGACTTGTGGGTAGACTTGCTGTTGCCTGTTGATGGAGTCTCATGTTTTGCACACTTTGGTGAAGTACATAGCTGGTAAACTGGGGTATTGGAAATTTTTATATGTCCTTTTTTCTTGATTCCAGTTATGCCTTACAACAGTGCCCACCACTGCGTTGTAGAGGTAGAAAACTTCCTGTTCGTGTTGGGTGGAGAGGACCAATGGAATCCAAATGGTAACTATTGAATAGTTTTAATTGTAGCTGCTTTGTACAACTCAACTTTTTGTTACTACAATGAAATATCTGAAGCAACTAACTTTAAAAAGAAAAGATTCACTGAGTTTGCAGTTTTGGAGGTACAAAACTGGTTACTTCAGTTCTGATAAGGTCAATACATGGTGGAGTGAGCAAAGAATAGTTATACCATCAGTGGGTGCAGAAAGAGAGAGAGGATGGGCAAGGTCCCACAATACCTTCTGAACACATGGCTCTGATGAACTTAGGTGGTAGACTACTTCTAAACTTCCCATCTGCTAATACCATTATCTTCTGAATGCAGATGAGTTTTAGGTGAGCTCTACTCAACTAGACCACAGTAATGCTGAATGACTACACACACTGTAGAGGGATTTCTATCCATCCTTTTGATACTTAGTGTTGAAAACACATTTCTGTGTAACACAGGCAAATGCAGAGGTCATAAGGTTAGCTGATGGAAGGAGGGAGGAAGGAGACTCATGGAGCTAGCTGAGGACATCTGTAACAGAGCATTCAAGTGCCAATTGTCTGGGGACTTAGCTTCACAGTGATGCCCAGCCCTTGTCCTTATCCATCCCCTGAGAGATGCCACAAACAGAAGCAAGGACTCCCATGGGAGAACTGAGTTAGCTACAGCTGTTCAGATGTTCGCCCATACTCTCTTCCCATTCTGTCTCTATGAGAACAAGGTTGAGATAAGCACTCTCTCATTCATGCAGCACGGAACTCTGGTTCAAGTTCTTTTGCAGCAGGTAGGACAAAAAACCCAGTGCACCTACTGCCTTTTCTGCTGCTTTTACAAGTGTATCCTCTATAGGTTGTCCACAATCTTTCCTATAACTGTGAGTCCTTCCTAAATGAAATAAAACGTTTTGACACAATCACAAACTGAATACAAGAACAATGTGTCTTGCAGAGCATGCAAAATGATTGTGATGTTTTTAGAAAGCCTTGAGTGAGGGAGGTGCTATAGTTGTAGACTTCTGTGTTACAGAGATAATTATGACTGAGAAGCCATAAAACAGCTTGCAGGTACACATTTTTACTTTAAAACCCCAGTACATCCCACTGAAATTACATATACTGCATATATTCTGTTGTGAATGCTCTCTTTCAGCATCTGTACCAAGGCAAATTGTGTACAAATCACAACATCTGCTCCCTCTAGAAAATCATAAAGGAAAACAAGCCAGGCTGCCCACTATTAAGAAAGAGGGAGAAGGCGGGGGAGACAACTCAGTCAATAAAGTTTTTGCCATGCAAGCATGGGAACCTGACTAAAGTACCAGAAACTAGATAAAGAAACTAAAGAAAAAGGCAGGAAGGCTGTAATCCCAGAACCTGTGATAAGGAGATAGTGGGGGAACCTAGGAGTCCCTGCATAGTCAATCTAGCCAAGCTGGCAAGTTCTAGACCAGTGAGAGACTCTACATGAAAGGTTAAGGTGGACAGGACCAAAGAAACAACAGTTGAGGCTGAG